TCAGACTTCGTCATCTTGAAAGATAATAAAAATGATGAAAAAATGTACTGAATCAAGTCAAGAGTTCTGCTATATTTATTTATCCATTCATTGATTCATTCATGAATTTATATCTTACCATAATCTCATGATTTTCACACAAGATATGAAAAGAAAACTATTAAACCATGATAATGTTACAATGCAAACAACCCAAAAGAGGGACTAATATTTATTTAAACATTTGACAATAATGTATACCATATCAATAAAAATAAAAAGTAAAAGATGGCATAGTAAGTGAAAATCACTGGAACATTCCCCAGGAAAAAATCAACATTTGGTATCTTTCTCAAAGGTATTAAGAAGTGAGCTAATCTGATTTTTAATGGGAGACCATTCTCCAGCACTGCCACTTGAAGCAGTGTTTTCCTACTTTGACTTTCCTCTCTTCCTAAGAGGAAGAGACCATGAAGAGTTTTTACCTTCAAAGATTAGTAAACATGCAGATGTCAGTCCAATCCAATTGTACCAGAAGCTGTTAAGTGATCTAAAATGACCAGCAGATCTAAACTGCCCTGAACCTGGTCCCCATAAAAGTTATCCAAAAGAGTAATCAAAATCATCTCAGTTCCAAACTGATTAACTAGATATCTAAGGAAAGCTCACAAGAGAGACATAGATACAAAAATACTATACTATCCATATTTCTTAGTCAGTGGAATTAAAAGGCATAGCAAGTTTCTCAGTCACTGAACTTAAAAGGCAGACCATATATGACCTGTTATCAGAAATAATATATATTCTTCATGACTTGTAGCCATTTATATTTTTGAATGACTGTGAATTTGTCCAATCCTTTTCCAAACTGTCCAAGTTGGTGGCTATTATTATAATATATTCTCTTAGTGAAATACCTAGCTTAGGTATTTAATATGTGGGGTCAGGAACGCTTTAGACACTAATGTCCTGGTCACCTCACAATTAGACTACTGCAATGTGTTTTACATGGGGCTACCCTTGAAGACAACACTGAAGCTACAGCTGGTTCAAGATCCGATTGTGCAAGCAGTAATGGGTGCCTCTCAGGGTGCCCACGCGTCACCTCTGCTATGAAACTAGCATTGGCTCCCAGTTCGCTTCCAAGTACAATTCAAGATGCTGATAATTATCTATAAAGCTCTACATGCCATAAGAACTGGATCCATGAAAAACTCCTTGACTCCAATTGTTTCTGGTGGCCCAGTACATTCCAGCAGAGTACATTCCAGGGTAAGCTTCAGGTCCCCTCCATTAAATATTTCCATCTTGTTGGGCCTAAGAAGCAGGACTTCTTTGCTGCACTCCACCCCACCCCTGTCAATTAATTAATTAATTAATTAATTTGTATTTATAACTCTGCTTTATTACTTTTGTAAATAACATAAGATAGTGAACATTCCTAATTACTCCTCCCTCTTTCTATTTTACCCACAACAACAAACACATCTGGTGGGTTGGGCTAAAGAGTGTGACTGGCCCAAATTCACCAGCTGAATATCTTAATATCTTCCGTCCTTATCTTAAATTTGGAGAATGAATTTCTGTCTTCATCTATTCCATAAAACCACTAGAACTACTTTTCTTCCTGGTGCTTCATGCCTCTGAAGGGGCATCTGAAAGATTCAAGCTATCTAAAATGTTGGTTAACTGACTAGCCTTTAGGCAAGACTTACATTATTTTTGAGAGAAATCTTGCTAAAATGTTCTCATATTATTATTATTATTTTAAAATTTTTCTTCCTAAGTAATGCATGTTGGTATAAACAACATTTAACATTAAACTCCTGAAAAATCAAATTAAAAAAGAAATCTATATTTGCTCATTACATTTTTTTTACATTCAGGAAGTTCAAAATCAAGCATTTTTTTTTTTTAAAAAAAACTGTATAACAAGATTTTATCATTATTCCTAAAGAATGTGACTGAAGGATCCGTTGCTATTCATGAAACTTGAGTTTAGCTACTGACTGCATTATCAATATAACTCGGTAATTAATCTCTGTATAATTGTTTGAAGACTCCATATTAAGAATTCATTTCTAATATTGGATGCTATTAAGTGTTATTCTAATCATAGCAATTTAAAAAAAAATTGGATACAAACCCTAACACAGTTTTTTCTTTGAATTGCTGAATATTCAACCTAGATCAGTAGGATATAGCATCTAGAATTTCTGTTAAAATGCCATTCTGCATTGTAGCTACTGAGAACAGAGATATTTCCATTTTCTTCAAAAGATACAATTGTCTGACTGAATAAACTGTATTATCAACTACTACCAAGTATTGTAGCTATCAACTACTATAAAAATATTCTATAAATACAAATGTATTGTAAACTTTATTGATATTTTTAATGGGAAGCAGCATACAAATGTTTTAAATAAATAATAGTTGATAGTCTTTTTAAACCTAACAATTAATATCTGCAAGTTTCCAGCAAACATGTTTAAATATAATCCTAAATCAATTAATTCTCAACTTGCTGTGCGAACTATTTCTGTACAGGATTATGTTATGATCCATTCATTTCAATATTGCTGCAACTGCATAAGAACAATCTTTAGTTTGGTGAAATACATAAGGACTGAAATATCATGTTCTATGATATCAGATGTATAAATTAGATAGGAAAATAGCAAACAGCATATAAAACAATGGGTGGTGATTGCTTGTAAATCACTGAAATCAGTCAACAAAGCAAATATTTATTGGTTTATAATATTCATGGTCTATCTTTCTACTGAATTAGTTTCCCATGTGATTTAGAAATAATTAAAGCAATTTGTTACATTGTTTTAAAGAAAATAATTTAGAACAATGAGGCAATAGGCAGAAGATTGTAAACAATTCCATACTTCAGTCTTTCCCTACTCTGCTAGCACACTATCTACCTAATTTCCTGTTTTACAGAAATCAACTTGCTATCTCATATATATTTACAGGGAAGAAAATGTAATTGAACTCAGTGGAGTTTTGTTCTAAACTTACATATGGATTATACCTCATGATGCAAAATGAGTGCCAGAGAAATGAGTCCTTGTAAATCTGTGCTACAAAATGAATGGCATAAAACTAATTTTAATGAATTCAACTCCTACAACTTTCAATTCAACTCAACAATATATATGACCTGATTACATTTTCTTTTCTGTGCCAACAAAATGCTGCAAAATCTATGGTTCTGCCTGCAAGATTAAAGAAAGAAGGGAGGGAGGTGAGGGACAAAATAATGAACCCTGTTACGGTACAACTGTTGTTTACCTGAAGCATCCGCATTGGATGATGCTGAGTTCCGGGAGCTGTCCAATGTGCTTAAACTTTGTATCCCCTGGTTTCATAAAAGATGCTAACTCCCATTTATATGATTATTCTCCATGCTCTCATATTGTCTGTGTCCGACTTGAACCGGATTGCTTGCTTTCAAAGAATAAGAACAGGAGTGAAGAAAGAGAGGTGTCACTTGTCTTTAAAAGGCATCAAGGACTAATAATCACACTCCGTTTTCTACCGCCAAGGCTGACTGATTTGCAGCAGCTGTTGCAAATGTGTATAACAATCAGAAAGGGGGATGTTTATTGACCTAGAGCCAAACAAGAGCCTTGCCAGTTATGATGTTTTTGGTGTTTTCTTTTCTTTTTCTTTTTAACAGACTGAAGCAAGAGATTAAATATGCAACCTGAAGGGATTCATGCTTCAAAAGAAAGCTGAAAGTTTGCTCAAAAACAGCTGTATGGTGTATGGACCAGCAAGCTTCAAATATATTTTACCATGATTCTAATATAAGATATTAATTGGGGGAAAAGAATTAAGATACAATTATAATAGTATTATGTACATATCTTATAGTAATTTAGAGGGGGCAGACTCCCAGTCAATCAGCCTTCCCTCAGCCTAATGTAATGGGACTCAACTTTCCTATTTATCAGTTCTCCCATGTTCTTGAAGCTGAATGCTGTGTAAGCCACACTGTACCTGCAAGAAAGACAAGTTACAACCCCTAATCAATTAGTATTATTAAATAATTATATTCCTAAAAGTCATTTTTTATCTCTCAAAAAAAAACCCCAACTCAAAAACTTCAACTGAAGAGGATAAAAGCCTTCAATATTAAATTGTAGTCAAATAGAGAAATGCAATATCATTTGGACCCCCCCCCTCTCTCTGTGTGTCTGGGAAGCTCTGCTATTAGAATGAAGAAAAACACATCTGACCTGTTAAACATCTGAGTCTCTCCTTGCACATAGAGAGAGTTTCCTTAGACATTTACTTGTCTTTATTTTATTGCTACCGCCATTCTTTTTGTACGTGGCTAACTCCTTCATGCCATCTCCTAGCCATGAAACTCTGGAAGGGGGGGGGGGAACCTAAAGCTGTTTTTTCCCCTTCTTTTGCAAAGCCGTGTTTGCCTGCCCCGCTGGGTAGATATTTGCACACTTCTGACAGAAAATCGGTTTTGGATGTGGATGACTCCAAGAGTTACTCTTAGGAATGGAAGTTCGCCTCTCTTGTGTCCTCCCCCGCCCCACCCCCCCAGTGCTTACTTAGGCAGCAAAGGCGCTTGTCATTCATCTCCCATTGCGCTGGGATACAGGACAAACATTCCACCACGACCCTTGGCATGCGGGGTCCCTCTTCAAGACATCATTAAAATCATCCCTGCGCTTGTCTGACATCAATTGAAAAAGCTTCTCTTCCCACCCCTGCCGCCACCCTGCCCCACATCCAGCTCCGTCCAGGCTGGAAAAATTTTTAGTCGCGGTTGCAGATGCAAAGAAAAGTGCCGCACTACAGGTGGCAACGCAGCCGCTTGCCAAGAAGGACCTGACCCTAATCCGGCTGGCCAAGGAAATGTCCTCACCGACGATTCTCCTGGGCACAGCCCGTTCCCCCCTGTAGCCTGAGTTATCGCGTCTCTTTTTCCGAACTAGGCAACCTCTTCCACATCCACACCCCGATATGGAGGGGGGAGAATAAATATAAATGGTCCCACCGCACTTCGGACTGAGATGGGCACCAAAGAAACGCGTGTGGGGTAAGGGATCGCCGGCCCGAGCCAACGTCCCTCATTCATGCATGAGCTTCTTTCTTTATCAAGGCCAGCGAATGGCCCAGCACCAAGCGATGTCTGTGACTCCCTCCATGCTGGATTTGCTGGCCAATCTGACTGAGGATCAGTCCACCGGGCAGATTCCTTGCGTGGGTCTCTATACTTGTTCTACCTCTGTGGCATCCTTGGGCCAAAGACCTTTGTCCGTTGCGAAAGGACTGCTGGCTTTGGAAGGAAGAGAAGCCGAGATGGAGGAAGAGGATGAAGAAGAGGGACGGGTGATGAGGCGAGCTGCTTTCCTAAACAGGCCGAAAAGAAAACGGATCATCACCTCCACGCAGCGCCAGGCAGCCAACGTCCGGGAGAGGAAGAGGATGTTCAATCTCAACGAAGCATTTGAGCAGCTGAGGAGGAAGGTCCCTACATTTGCCTACGAGAAGCGCCTCTCCAGGATCGAGACCTTGCGCCTGGCGATCGTCTACATCTCCTTTATGACGGAGCTTCTGGAAGGCCACCAAGCTAGCTAGAATGCCAGACTGAACACGGCAGCTGGTGGGAAAAAGTGGCTGCATCCAAGAATGAAGAAAAGGGATAACAGACACGAGCGCTGCGGCTGAGAAGGGCAGTTAGGGTGTCGTCTCCTCTTTTCTTATTCGCATTTCCCGGATTTCGTGTCCCTCCGGAGGAGGTGGACCATGGTGTTTATCATCTCCAAACAGGCTGGAGGTGAAGAGTGTTGTAGCGCTTGCCAGGTTGGGAAATTGGCTTAGAGACTGCAGTACTGAATTCGAGGCGACACCAGTAGCTTTCTGGATTGAGCTTCGGAGAAGTGGCTCTACTGCGGTGCAATTTTAGGGGAGGGGGGACAATGGAGCGCTTCAGTCCTTTTTAAAGATGTCGATAGGACTACGGGACAATTGACTTTCAGAGAACAAATTCAAGAAATGTAAATGGTGGAATTAAGGACGTGACGAGGTCTTTCAAAAGCAAACGAGTGGGGTCTGAGTTGAAATGAAAAAAATGGGAAGTCTTGATTGAGGAAAGTCTTGGAATAAGGCGGGAACTAAATTACGCTTCATCATGTTTAGGTGAAAATATTCATTTCATAAATTCAGGGATTGAGTAAAGAAGAGACATTGTCCTCTGTTGATCAAAAGTCTTGTGAGACATTAAATGCTTCTTTCCATCTAACCAGCAGATCTATAAAAATGTAGATTTCCTTAGTTGAAAGATGAGGATAATTAATGGGATCAGAGCAGATTGGGATAGAATGGTGACTTCCTTTCTATTCAGTAACAGAATGAAATAATTTGGGGACAAAGTTATATGCAATTTCATATTCTTTCTGTGTGTGCATGGCTATGTACTGCATACTTGCACATTTTAAATGGATGGGGGGAAACGTTCATTTTTCATTGTGAGATTTTTCTTTTTAATTGAAGCACAGATTTTTTTACAACTATAAAGTTTTTAAAATGTAAACTGTTGTTGGATGAACGATGTTAGCATGTTAGAGATTAGATTTCCCCCATTATCTCCCTCCCTCTCTCCCTTACCTCCCCCCCCTCTCTCACATACAGACTCAAACACACATACCAAGAAATAAAAATTAAGGAAAAGTCACATTTTCAGGTGGTGTAAAAATGAGAATATGGGAAGTTTGAGAGAGTGTGAAAACTGAGGGGTTGAATATACAACATCAAACACTTGGCATGATAAATGAAGTATTGTCTTCTTGCCCTCTTCTCCTCCTCTCCACCTCATTGGATATTCATGTGTCAAGAAAACTTTTTTTTACATCAGGTTTCCATGTGTGCCCAATCCAAAGCAGAATTATGCTCACACTTCAGATGTATACACATTATACAACTATATTTATAATATATACATTCTGCAGCAAGCAAAATGGTCCTTTGGATTTCAGATGTGCTTCTAAGTATTATACCCAACTGCGTGATTTGCTCATTGTAATTCTGATTCTCTTTCCATTTGCTATTTGCTTTCAATGAACGCATCACTGAAGAAAGAAGCTACCAAATGATTGAGGGACCAAAGCATTTCCCGTCTGAGAAAACATTGTACCTTTGGGATATTTAGTTTGAGGGGAAGAAGGAAAGTAACTAAAAGTGGAGATAAACATTTTTGCCTAACTATCATGGAGCCCCGTCTCATCCTTTGAAATGAAGGATGGGAGTCTCAAGAAGGACAGCATTAAAGTTTCTTCATACAGTACTGCATAATAATACATATTCAAACTATGGAATTTTCTTTAGTCTCTGATTTGGAGAGTTCTACAAAAGATAGAACCATGGCTACTTGTATTACTCTAAAATATCAGAAGCATTTTGCTTCTCGGTACAAATTTTCTTACTGGGAAGTATGAGGAAGTTGGTGAATGTGTATGTATATATGTGAAGCAGGAGGGGAAAACTGTCATAAGAAACAGTGAAGATTGATGCAAGAAGAACAGGTGAGGAGGCAAGGGAAGGGAGACCTGAAAAATGTTGTCTGCAAAAGTGTGTATTTATTAAAATCTACTTTTTTGAATGCAAAGTATTTTCCCCAATTGTTCTATTACTTCCACTTTGCCTGTTATATTTTCCTTGCTGGTTAGAATCAAATAGAAAATAATTGATCCTCTTGTGTCTTCCTCCATTCTCTGAAGGAGACATTTGTCAGCCAGGTGCCCTGTTTTTTGGCATGTTGGGGGGAGGGTGATTGAAAGCCTTGATTTTGGGGTGTCAAATTAGACTAGTCCATCAGAGATTTAATAGATATCTATTTTAGCATTTGTCACATAAAGGGTTCATTCAGATGTTAGCAATATAAATTAGCTCAGTAGGATCAAGAACATGAAACCACAGGTAATCTGATGATTGTTAACCAATGCCACAGAGCAGAATTTGAGAGAGTTTGACTAGATTTTTCAGTTAGTTCCCATAAGCATCTTACGATAAAGAAATTTTATATTATAAGCAACTTTGGAACTAATTTCAAAACAGAATAGCTTTTGAAAATGTTTAAACTTTCAGAAAGATTAAACATCTCTATTTTTAAACTCTCCTTCAAAATTTGCATTGTAGGCAAGCTGGCTCCATTGTTTATTATTATTATTTTTTATTTATTACTTTTTTACCTGCTCATTACATGTATATTCTTTGCTGTCATTTTGTAAATGCTTGATAAGCTACTTAGAAGGAACATAATAAATGAAGTTTTTCTTCATGAAAGAAAACAACCTAAGATTTCTGCAATCAAGAATTATTCTGTCAGACACTCCAATACACTGATACCTGCTCTCTAGTTAGGGCTACCTATACGTTTCAGAATACTCCCCGCTTGGAACTTTATATTTCCACTACTAAAACAGTAAAAACATAGCAACAAGGCATGCAATACTCACTGTTAACTAACTTGTGACTAAATAGGTAAAAACTTGGTATTAAACATGCATAACTATTGGTAAATATAAAACATGCACAATAATGCAAAAAAGGCAAGTGTTACATCAAACAATGCATAAGACAATACATAATTTGAGGTTTGATCTTCTGGTTCAGTCTTCATCAGCAACGGGAACAAATCAATGATCAGCATAGTATAAGTGTCTTTGAGTCACGACCTGACTCACGTGGCTTCATGATCTGGACCTCAGCTGGGCAAACTAGTTCATCAAGTGGGTGGGCCCGGTGCTCAAGTCTCATGAGCCAGTAGTTCTGGTATGCCATCTTGTCTCCCAGCGAGACAAGGTCTTCTTCCTGTGAAGGAAACTGGAACCAAATCTGGAACAGAAAACTGGAACTGAAAGTTTCTCAGGAACGAAGAGAACTGGATTCACAGGATACTCAGGAACTGAAGAACCTGGAAAAACATGAACAGCTGGATCTGGAAACACAGGAACAGCCAGAGCTGAAGAATCAGGATCAGGAACATCTGGGAACTCGGGAACAGCCGGAGCTGAAGAATCAGGAACAACAGCTGGAACTGAAGAGGTTCAATTTTCTAAGTCGGTCTTCTTTAGCCATGGGACTAGGTCAGTGATTAGTCTGGTGTGGAGCTAGTTGCTTGTCGTGACTCCTTAGACAACATCTTAGGTTCTAGGTGTAAGGCTGCTGGGTGCTTGTCACTGTCACACAGGTGGCATTTCACCTTAGCTGTGCAGTCTTTGGCTGTGTGATCCATAGAGTCACAGCATTTGAAACATATCCTATTCTCTTTGAGTAGGGTCTTCCGGTCATCTAGGAATTTTTTCCTAAATTCTCTGCAATCATTTAGAGAGTGAGAAGACTTGTGCATTGGGCAAATCAGGCCTTTTGTAGTTGAATGCGGATTCAAAAGAACACTTCTCAGTATTAGTTCGTCTGGAGCCTTCTGTGGGGGAGGTGTGATGTCCATTTTATACACTGAAGGGGTGGTTCTGTCCATAGCTTGGACAGATCCCTTGGTTATATCAGAGCTGAGACTGCTTCATCCGGTCGTTGGATAGTGTGCTTCTCTGACGGGAAGGTACCGGGGGTCATTGTGGAATTTAGCCTTCTTGCTGATAAATTTAGCGAGAACCGCAAAGGGGGGAATTTTGTTTTGGTTGTCTTCCCTGTAAGTTTGAGAAAACTCGATCCATTGTTCACATATCAACTGTGGTAGTTTTTGGATGATAGGAGTTTGTATTCTAAGCAGGTCGAGGCAAGCTAATCCCGGCAAGGTAGGATCCTGTTGTGCTGACCGTAGTTGAATAATAAGTGATGAGAAGGTCTTCAGCTGTTGGCGGTCGTTGATTCTTATGTAGGGGAAATTGAGAACGTGGTCCAGAAGCAAGGACTCTGTCACTGAGGGATCACCATAGTCCTCGTCAAGTGCGGCCCAAGCCTCTGCAAGGCCGATGTTGGGGTCGCCCAAATATGATGCGAAGATGTCATTCACAGTGTTTACAGATTCTGGGCCTAGCCATGCTGTCAGCTGGACAAGTTCTTCATCTGGCCCAGCCTATTCTTCGTTAATGGCACGCTTGAAGATGTGTTTCCACAACAAGTAGTCTCTTCCAGGTTTGTCGGAGAATTTCCGTACCCCTCTGGCTGCCAAGTCTAACCTTGGAGGTGCCTGTGACATGCGATTATTGGGACACGCTGGAATATGCCTTGGATATGTGGCGAAAAGATGAGGCATTTCCAGATACATGGGATGTAGCCGCATGCGATCTTTGGGATGGTACGTGTGAGGAGTGGGAAACTTCGGACTCAGCCCTGTCGACCGGTCTACCTCTCTGGTGAGGCTCGGACTTTGGGGGATCCTGTGAGCTCTCTAGAAACTTCTTATGTTCCTTGTTTAGTAGCTTGAGGCTTTGCATCTCGCTATCAATAGTTGAGTCTCTTAATTGTTCTTGAATGTCCTCAAGTTGCCATTCAGAGCTCTTCCATTGCTCAAGGGCATCTTCTTTATCTTCTTCCAATTCACTCGCCTTTTCAGGGGAAAGCTCCTCCTGAGGCTCTTGGTAGAGTTGGAGTAGTTTTCTCCAGTGTCTTTCATGGCG